TCCCAAGCTGGTTTCACCATGTGGACCCTGGCCCTCCCTGAGGCTGGTCTCCCTTCCCGAGTCAGCTGAGTCGCCAAGCCCCCTTCCACGTCAGCCACTTTCTTGTCAAGCCCATCACCCCCAGCTTCGTGATGCCATCACTCTGCTGACGGAGCCTGTGTGATCACCCCTCTCTGCCAGCGAGCTCCAAGAGGTGACCAAGCCTGTGTGCCCGACCAGTGCATCGACAACCTAAGCCCTTGTTCACACTCGGGCCGTGGCACAGGCTCAGAGGGGTTCGGAAACCTGCCCCAGGCTACGAAGAGACGATGGGGTGCGGTGGGCACTTGGACCAGGCCACCTCCAAGCATCACCACCGGCTCCCTACGCCATGCCATCCCTGCCGAGGCCTCGTCAAACCCTCGCTCCTGGTGGCTGACATCTCCAGGACCCCTCCTCACCCTCTCTAAACATCCTCTCATCACAAATGAGAAGGCCCCACGCCCCACCCTTGCCAGCTCCCCAGGGATCTCCCTTTGGGACTCCCCTTTGCCAGGTCTGTGCTCTGAGGGCCGAGCTCTCCGCAGGTAGACATGCTCGAAGATTCCCTAGGTACCAAGTAACACAAACAGCCAAGCATGAGCCTCCCCCTGCCCCAGCCGCTTTCTCCTTCTACTCACCTCCAAGCTTTTGAAGAGCTGCCTACACTCACCTGTCTCCCCATGAGCAACTTCCCCTCCACCACCCTGTGGCTGATCCCTGATTTCCATCTCTGACTTTGCCCCTCTGTATGGCACTTGACACCAACACCAACACCCCCACCCCCACCCCAGGGCCGTCTGATCTGAGGATACCCACCGCTCCTTCCTTCGTCACCCTCTGGGACATGCTCCTTCCCCGCTGTCTTGCTGCCCGTGGCCTCCACTGTATGTGTTTTACTCAACCTAGGGTTGTGCACAGTCCCCTGCCATCCCCCTCGGCAACTGTGCCTGGCCTAAGGGTCACTCTGCCCAGCCTACTGGGCCTGAAGCCAGCTCGGAAGCCCAGCTTTGCCTCTGACCTCCTCTCCACCTCCCACCCTGAGCTCTGGCCACATGCTGTCCCCGCCCTCCTGTGCCTGCCCAGCTCACTCCTTGATCCTCTAGGCTTTCCCTGACCACCGTGCTGGGTGAGGTGCCCCTCATTGTTGCTCCTGCATCCCCTGTCCTTCCTCCACAAAACACCCATCTCAATCCACTGTCACTGTCACTGTCACTCGTGCCTGCCTGCTCAGCCCAGAGTGGGTCCAGGGAGCATCTGCTGGCCAGGTGACGAAGTAGAGCAAGACCATGCTTCAGGCCACTCTCCCAGGAGTGTCTGTGAACAGAGCTCCGGGGAGGGGAGTCTCACCCATTCTTCTTGGGCAAATAGGCCTCCATATCGAAGAACAGGCCCTGGCGCTCCTTGATCTGGTTCTCCAGCTCCTGTGCAGCCTCTCTGGCCCCCGACTGAAGGGAGGGTTTACATCTGTAGGGCCCACGAAATCCAGAGTCAGAGGAGGGGAGTGGGGTGGTGGGTGGGGTGTGTCACACTGGACCCCTGTGGGGCAGGAGGGCAAACAGGGCCCCTGGGACACTCAGGAGTCAGTGCCAGTTCTCTACCTGCCCCAGATCTGACACTCATCCCCAGCCCTGGGCCAGGGGGGTATGGGAGGCTTGGGCGGGGTGGGGGTGGGGGGTTCTGTGGGGGGTGAGGGCCAGTTCTAACTTCTTCAGGACTAGAGCCAGCTCCTGGAGCCGCTTTTTCTGCCGAGTGATGGAGCCAGTACAACTGTTCTGCAGCTTGATCAGCTCTTCCAGCTTCAGGCGGTATAGCCGGTGTGTCTCCTGGAGAGCGGGCAGGATAAGGCTCAGGCTGCTGGCAAGGCCCCTGAGCCAGAGCCTGCTGGGCAAGTGGGGGGTGGGGGTGGGCAGGGGCTCCCTGGGAGGGTCTGCGCAAGAAAGGAGGCAGCCAGCCCAGGGACCCCCTGAGGCTGTTCTCTCCCTAGGGCCAGCCAAGGGATGGGGCTCTCCCTGCAAGCCCAGAAGCCCCTGCAGCATCCCCATCCCAGAGACAGCATCCCGGTCCCAGAGACAAACTAGCTCCACAGAGCTTGTCTTCATCTCAGCCCACCCTCTGTTGTCCCCACCCCTCTGTTCCGCCCTGAGTTAGGATTCCAGGAGCCTGAGGCCACTCTGGTTCTCCGGGATCCTCCTGCCTACCCAGCTGGCTAGTGCCCGAGGAGCTGGGGTTGTCCAAGAAGCCTGCTGCTCTGGCACTCCCAGCATCTGCCTCCCAGGTTAAAGGTTACCAGGCTTCAGCACTTACAACCACCGTGAAGACCAATTCTTTCACCCCTCCCCCAGCACCTTTGGCCCAAAGCTTTCCAGAGCACTTTGCCCTGGTGGGTGAGTTTCCAGAAGAGCACCCTGGAGACAACAAGGGGCAGCACGAGGAAGGTCAGGCAGGGGTCAGTATGGGAAAGTAGGTCTGCCCTGCTCTGGACTCCAGGAACACTAGTGGCAGCAGGGTTGGCCAGGCCAGGGGGCGGCAAGGCTTCAATGCAGACAGGAAAGGGCTGGAACCAGTCCAGAAGCGACAAAGGCATGACCAAGTACACAGCTGGCCCGGGCTCTACCCTTCCTAGGTCTTGTTTCTGGGGCCCTAAAAGGGCTACCACCCCCCCTCAAAACCCCACACGTGCCCCGTCTGCCTACCCCTACCAGCTACTCTCTCCTGTCTAGGGGAGACCTGCTGCCGTCTCCCTGCTGGCCTCCCCCAGAACAGCACAATGGTCCACACAGGCCAGATGCAGGCAGTTCCTGCCGTGGCTCCCCAGTGCTGGGGGAAAGCTTCCCACCGCGTCCTTGCCCCGAGGGCCCTGCAGGGTCTGGCCCACCCGCTCCTCCCCAGCTCTCCTGACAGCAGCCACACAGCCCTGCCTTCGGGGGTGCTGTCCTTCACCCCGGCCCAGGCCCCCCGCGCTGCTCCCGGCTCCGCCCGGCCCGCGCCCGCCGCAGGTTTGCTGAGGGACCGGGGCCCGGGGCTGTGACTCAGGCGGCCACTCTCCTGGGAGAGGGCGGAGAAGGGGCAGGGGTCGCGGCCCGCTTCCGAGGCCCCCGCCCAAGGCCCCCGGCCGGCCAGGCTCCGTGGGTTCCCGGCGGGGTCGGGGCGGCCGCGTGGCCGCGATGGGGAGCTGCGGCCGGACACGCATTCGAGGCCGAGGGGAGGGTCCGGCTAGGGCCGCCAGGACCCAGGGCCTCGCCGCCCTCCGGGGCGACGCCAGGGCCTCCGACCCTTGACCCTGAACCCCCTATTGCCTGACCCAGGGCTGCCCGACCCTTGACCTCCAGCCGGAGAGACGTGGCTCAGAGCCAATGGGCGCCCGCCCCGGGACTCACCTGGATGCTCTGGAAGTCCTGCTGCAGCTCCTCCCAGTCCCGCAGGCAGTCGCCCAGCGGGCCCGGGCGGGGCTTGCATGGCTGCCAGGCCACGCGCCGGACAACCCGAGTCAAGAGCCGCGCCGCAACCCCGGCCCGCCCGAGGCGCCTCCGCCGCCTCCGCCGCCTCCGCCGCCGCCCCCGGCCGCTTCCGGGCTCGCGCCGCCACCGCCACCAATGGGAAAAGGCCTGGGGCCGCCAGCGCGCTGGCCCCGCCCCCTGCCTGGGCCAATCCGGGCCCCGGGCGGGGCCGGGGCGGGGCCAAGTGCAGCAGGGGCCGCTGTCCCCGCGGGGCTCGGGGGGCTCGGGGGGCTCGGGGGGCCCGGGGCCGGCGCGGCGGCGCTCCCGGGCTGGGGCTCCACGGGGTCGCGGCAGCCGCGCGCTAGGGCCCGCAGAGCTGCGGCCCCCGTGCTGGCGGTAAACCGAGGCCCACGGAGGTGACCCCTGCCTCAGACGCTCTTGTCCTTGCGAAAGCTGCGCCTCTGCAGGGAGAGGCTTCCGAGCCGGCTTTTCCCGGATGGACTTTTATAGCGGCCACCTTGCTGGCTCCCTGCCTCCAGGCTCACCGCTGCTGTCCTTTCACAGAGCCGCCAGGCTGCCAGCGCTAATGCCCAAGCCTAATCCTCACCATGGCCCCGATGAAAACTTTACGGTGGCTCTGCCCTTCCCGCCCGAAGGTCTCTGAGCCACTGCTTGCAGCCTTCCCGAGCTCTGTTCTGGCCCGTATCCTAACTGATCCCAAGTCTGCGCTGACTGGAAAGTCCTTGTTCCTCAGGCAAAACCCCCCTGCTTGAGGGAACTGGGCTTCCTGGGACGGAGGGGGTGGGGCACTACCCTTCAGCAGAGAGTCCTGAGAGGTGAGATGGCCCTCACCTCTGTGTCCCCCCGCCCCCAGCTGCACGCAGATGGCAGGGAATGCTGAATGAACGTGGACATCCTAAATTCCTTTTCAGTCCCATCCTGCGTGCCCTCTCCTGACTGGTGCTGTGGGTGCTGTCAGCGCTGGGAAGCACATTCTGAAGAAGCTTCTAGAAACATGAGTGTGGGAGTTAAGAGGGGTAGTAATCTCTTCTTAGGGAACCCAGCCAGGAGGAAATGAGTGGGGGAGGAAATGAGTGGGAGAGGAAAGAAAGGAAATCTGAACAAATCATCAACAGGGCAGAGTGGTGGGGTGTGCTGGGACCTGGGCTGAGGCAAGGGTGTACCTTGTGCCAATAGCATCTCAGAGCTGTGGAGCCTGGCATCTGGGCCAACTCTGGGTCTGGCAGATATCCGCCCGCGGGTGGGCATTATGACACCCATGTGGACCAACACAAGGCAGGAGGAACCCCTGTAGCTAGCTAGCTCCTCCCAAACAAACCTCCAAAGGGTCCAAGTGGCCAGGGACTTGTGGGAGAGCTGCTCAGAGGGCCAGAAGCTCTTCCAGAGGCAGCCTCAGGAGTGTGGCAGGGGTGGTCCCGGATCACCCAGGGATGGGGGTTCTTGCTGAGTCTGAGCAGAGTACACCTGCTCTGTGGTGTGAACGAGGAGCCTGAGAAGAACCACAGGAGGCTGACACGAGACTCCAGGCAGCAAAGGCCTTCTCTTTCCACACCAACCTGGTTACACAGCCTGGCCCACTACCCACAAGAGCGCCACCCCCACCCCACCCCCACAAGGTTCTTCGGGACCCATAGCTGGACCACAGAGAAGATCAGTAGAGTGGATCGAAGATGTCTGTGACAAAATCTCCGAGGATCACCTTCTCCCATTCTGACAGCTGAGCCACCAAGCTCCGATTTGGACGCATGTTGTTTTTACACTTCTTGACAAAGTCCCAGGACTTCTGTCAACACAAGGAGAGAAAACAGACTTTAGAATTGAACCTGGGCCCTTCCCGCTATAACACAGCCAGCTCAGGAGGGACAGGAAACACCTGCCCATGGACCAGCAACATGGCTAAACAGCTGGACACAGAAATGGCAGCAGCCTGAGGTTAACAAAGCAGGACAAGGAGTTATAGAAGCTGGCTCTGTTTTGAGCCAGCCCCTCTGCTGGTGGATATGGAGACAGAGATCGTTTTATTTCCAATGGCCCTTGCGAAGACTGAGACAACATAAGTGATAACTCCTGTGGGCAGGAGAGCACCCTGAGAGCACCTGGCACACAGTGCAACCTCAACAAAGGTTTGCACTATGAATGGATAAATTGATGAAAAGGGGAAGAGAACTACGGGGAAATTCTCCAAAGAAGGGAAATTAAAGCTGCTTTCTTTCAGGTGTCTACCTTAGAACGCAGGAGGGAAAAGGACAAGCTGGTTTAACATCTGGATTGAGGACAGAGGAAAAAGGAAATAGGAAAAGTGGGGCCTCAGCAAACTAGGAAGAGAACAAATGCACCCCAACATACTGAAGGCCCCATACAACAACCCCACAGGTCACATCACACTCAGTGGTGAAAGATGGAAAGCTTTTCCTCTAAGATCGGGGACAAAACAAGGCTGCCAGCTCTCACCACTTCTATTTAACATTGTACCAGAAGTCCTAACCAGAGCAAAAAGGAAGGAAAGGAGGGAGGGAGAAAAAAGATACATAGAAATTGAAGAAGAAGTAAAATTACCTCTGTTTGCAGATGACATGATTTTATGCTTAGAAAATCTTAAAGATTCCACCAAAAAATCTGTCCAAATAAATTAATCTGGCAACGTTGTCAAATCACAAAATCAACACTCAAAGTCAGTTGCATATCTATACACTAACAATGAATAACCTGAAAAGTAAATTAAGGGGCACCTGGGTGGCTCAGTTGGTTAAGCATCTGTCATGATCCTGGGGTTGTGGGACTGAACCCTGCATCAGGCTCCCTGATCAGCAGGGAGCCTGCTTCAGCCTCTCCCCCTGCTTGTGCTTGTGCTCGATCTCTTTCTCTCAAATAAATAAATAAGATCTTTAAAAATTAAAAAAAAAAGTAAATTAAGAACACAATTCCATTTACCCTGGCATCAGAAGGGATATAATACTTAGGAATAAACTTACTTAACCAAGGAAGTAAAAGCCCTGTACCCTGAGAATTATGAAACATGACTGAAAGAAACAAAAAGACAGAAATAAATGGAAAGATATCCTATGCAAATAGGAAGACTTGATATTGTTAGGATGTCAGTACTACCTGAAGTATCTAAAGATTTAATGGAATCTTTACTAAATCCCAACAGCATTTCTTGCAGAAATTTAAAAACCCATGCTAAAATTCATATGGAATCTCAAGGGACCTCCAAATAGCCAAAACAATCTTGAAAGAAAGAGAACAGCCCTGGAATTCTTGTACTTCCTGATTTCAAATCTCTGAAGTTATTACAAAACTACAGTAATCAAAACAGTGTGGTACTGGCATAAAGATAGACATTTAGACCAAAGGAATAGGATATAACAGCCAAATGGTTTCAACAGGATGCTGAAAAAGGATATCCATTCAAAGGAAAAAGGATAGTCTTTTCAACAAATGATGCTGGGGAAACTGGATATCCTTATGCAAGAGTCAAGCTGGACCCCTACCTCACACCATGAGCAAAAATTAACTCAAAATGATTGAAGACTTAACTGTGAGAGCTTAAACTATAAAAATATTAGATGAAAACATAGGAGAAAAGCTTCATAATACTGAATTTGGCAATGATTTCTTGAATAAGACACTAAAAGCACAGGTAATTTTAAAAATGGACAAATTGGACTACAATACAAATACAAATAACACACTTGTATGCATCAAAAGATATAATTAACAGAGTGAAAAGGCAACCACAGAATGGGAGAAAATAACTCCCAAATCATGTATCTGATTTATATCCAGGTGTTAATATGAAGAATATAGAAAGAGCTCCTAAAACTAGACAAAACCCCCTGAACAACCCAATTAGAAAATAGGCAAAGAGCCTGAATAGTCATTTCTCCAAAGAAGAAACATGAATGGTCAATAAGCACATGAAAATATTTGCTCAACATCACTAATTATTAGGAAAATGCAAATCAAAACTATAATGAGATACCACCTCACACCCATTAAGATAGTTATTATATATATATATATATATAAACAACACAGCACGCATTGGCAACGATATAGAGGAATTGGAACCCTTGTGTACTGTTAGTGGGAGTATAAAATGGTGTAGCCACTGTGGAAAAGCAGTATGGAGATCCCTCAAAAAATTTAAAATACCATATGATCCAGCAACTCCACTTAAGGGTATCTACCCAAAATTTGAAAACAGAGTCTTGAAGAGATATTGATACACCCATATTTGTAGCAGCATCATTCACAATACTTAAAACCTGGAGGCAACCCAAGTTTCCATCAACGGATGAATAGAAAAAGAAAATGTGGCATATATACACAATGGACTCTCATTCTATCTTTGGAAAGAAGGAAATTCTGACACACACTACAACATGGATGAACCTTAGGGACATTATCAGAAATGAAATAAGCCAGTCAACAAAAGGACAAATACTGTGTGATCCACTGATGTGAGGTACCTAGAGCAGTTGAAATCATAGAGACTGGGAGTAGAATGGTGGTTGCAGGGCTTGAGGGAGAGGAGAATGAGGAGTCCGTGTTTAATAAGTATCGAGTTTCAGTTTTACAAGATGAAAAGAGTTATGGGGATATATGATGGTGATAGCTGTACAACACTAGAAAGTATTTAATACCACTGAACTGTAAACTTTTTTAAAAAAATGGTTAAGGGGCACCTGGATGGCTCAATCGGTTCAGCAGCCAACTCTTGGTTTTGACTCAGGTCATGATCTTAGGGCTGTAATATCAAGCCCCATGTCAGGCCCCATGTGGGCTTAGCATGGAGTCTGCTTGAGATTCTGTTTCCCTCTGCCCTTCCCCCTGCTTGCACATGCTCTCTCTTTCTGCAAAATAAATAAGATCTTTAAAAAATGGTTAAGACAGTAAATATAATGTGTATTTTAACACAGTGAAGAGGAAAAACTATAATGAGATACCACTTCATAGCCATTAGGATGACTACTATTTAATAAAAAAAACAACAACAGAAAATACAAGTATTGGCAAGGATGTGGAGAAACTGGAACCCTGGTGCTCTGTTGGTGGGAATTTAAAATGGTGTAGCTGCCATGGAAAACAGTATAGTGATTACTCAAAAAAGTAAAAATAGAATTACCATATGATCCAACAATTCCACTCTGGGTTTATACCCAAAATAACTGAAAGCAGATGGCCAGTGGAGCTTGTGTTTCTGGGTTCAATAGGACAGCAGTGAAATAAGAAATAGTTCTTAACTGGCTATATCATCCCAGGGCTCAGTAAAAGCAGACAAAGATGCCTATCTTCCAGTCTTCCCCTAAAGAAAGGTGTATTTGCAGACTTTTAAAGCTGCTCTCTCACAGTCAGGCTTCCAATCAGCCTGAACCCAGGTGTAGACTGAGATCCTCCCCCTTTAGGAAACTGACAGGTCTTGAAACCCTCAAATACTGACCACCACTAAAAACAAAGCAGGCTGCTCGGAAAATCGAAAAGGTTTGAGAGAAAACCAAGAACTAGTAAAGAGTTGAACCATAAGGTTCATTTCCTACACCAGACCACTCCTTCAGAACTGGGAAAGGTGGCTGTTTTCCCTAATGCACAGAAATAAACAGAGTCAGGGAAAGGAAAAAACAGGAATACATTGCAAATGAAAGAAAAAGCTAAAACCTCATGAAAACATCTTAATGAGGACACCTGGGTGGCTGAGTGGTTGAAGCATCTGCCTTTGGCTCAGGTTGTGATCCCGGGGTCCTGGGATCAAGTCTTCCATTGGGCTCCCTGCAGAGAGACTGCTTCTCCCTCTGCTTATGTCTCTGCCTCTCTCTCTGTGTCTCTCATGAATAAATAAAATCATGAATAAATAAATAAAATTTATTCATAGGAGACACAGAGAGAGAGGCAGAGACAGAGACATAGGCAGAGGGAGAAGGAGGCTCCCCGTAGGGAGCCCAATGCTGGACTCCATCCCGGACCCCGGGATCATGACCTGAGCCGAAGGCAGGCGCTCAACTACTCAGCCACCCAGATGTCCCTAGAAAAAATTATTAATAAAATGGGGACAAGTGATTTAACTGACAAAGAGTTCATGTCATAAAGATGCTCACTAAGGTCAGGAGAACAATGCATGAACAAAGTGAGATTTCCAACTAAGAGACAGAAAACATCAGAAAGTACCAAACAAATCGTAGAGCTGAGAAATACAATAACTGAGCTGAAAAAATATAACATTAAGGATTCAACCACAGACTACACAAAATGGAAGAAAGGATCTGTGGACTCAAAGACAATGCAGAGGAAGAAGAAAAAAAAGAAAAGAAAAGAAAAGAAAAGAAAAGAAAAGAAAAGAAAAGAAAAGAAAAGAAAAGAAAAGAGAAAGAAAGAAAAGAAAGAAAAAAGAAGGAAGGAAAGAAGGAAGGAAGAAAGAGAAAGGAAGGAAGAAAGGAGGAAAGGAAGGAAGGAAGGAAGGAAGGAAGGAAGGAAGGAAGGAAGGAAGGAAGGAGAGAAGAGAAGAGAAAGAAAAGAAAAGAAAAGAGAAAAGAAAAGAAAAGAAAAGAAAAGAAAAGAAAAGAAAAGAAAAGAAAAAAGAAAAACAAAACAGTGAGCATACCTTAAGGGACTTATGGGCAATATCAGAAGGATCAATGTTAGCATTACAGGCATCCCATAAGGACCAGAAGGAGAAAGGGACAGAAAACTTATTTGAAGAAATAACACTGAATACTTCCCTAACCTGGAAAAGGAAATAGACAACCAGAGCCCAGAGAATTCAAAAAAAAAGATGCACCCAAAGAG